CACGCAAGGCTTGAGCAGACGTGTGGTGAATCTGATATGCTCCCTTTTAGGTGTCAGGCTGATTGGTCTGTAATTCCTATGTCCTCATGTCTTCCTTTGTAAAAGGCTGCTGTTAGAGATTTTAGTGAATTGAGGGGGCTCTCCTTCAGTCCTGTGACGAAAACACTATGGCTTTACGATCAGCCTAAGATAATCTTAGTCATGCCATGAAGAGGCATAGTGCTGCTCTGCCCCACGCATCTACATCTTGTTTCAGGTCTCGTAGTTGTGTGGCCCTGCAGTAATCAGTTAGTTTTCCATTGCACTGGTGATCTGATTCAGTTTGCCATGTTACTATCTCATTGCCCGTGACAGCTGAAGGGAGGTGGTAGAAATATGTGAGAAGAGTAGGACTGTTCTGTTTGGCTTCAGTGCACTGCTAAATCAGCTGCAGCTGATCATGAAACCATGCTGTAAGTGTCATTGCTTGGCAGGAATCTCGCACTTGAGTGACTTTTCTAGAAGGAAAAGCGGTTCTTAGAATTCTGTCATCCTGGGACATGACATGCCAGTGAAAATGAATTTTTACAGTGATGTATTGTGTCTGAATAGGTGCTGCTTCACTGATTGTTAGTATACCCTTTGCAGAAATAGAACTAGCTAAGAGGCATCTTGCTCCTGAAGGTGGAACTCAATGAATTTGCCTGCTGCTTTGCACCTCTGAGATGAGGTCTCAAGGCAATTTATGAACATAAGCCCTTGTAGGGGTATAGTCTTCCCTGATACATATCAGAGTTATATGTAAGGAAAGCTAAGAATTATGTTAAACCATGACAGAACAGCCTGAGAATATGTGTTTCTGAACCTATTATTTCTGCGGTTTTAGGTGTGAGGGACATCCATGCAGACCATGCAGCCAGTCACATTGGGAAAGCGCAAGGCATAGTCACCTGTTTAAGAGCAACTCCATATCATAGTGCAAGACGAAAGGTCTTTCTTCCCATGGACATTTGTATGTTGGTAAGAGAAAAGTTTTTTGGATTTGAACAGTATAGTGTTTCTAACTGCCTCTCAGCACTAGATATGAGATCATGCTTTGTTAGCCCAGAGACGGAACATTTTTATTTACTCATATAACTGCCTCTGCTGTTCCCCAGTGCTATTGCCAGTGACAGTTTTAGTGTTTTATATCTCTTGGGAGATGAGATGAGTGACCTGTGTAAAGCTTTAGAGATTTTCCATTTTTGTTCATTGGTTTTTACATTGTCTAGTAGTATTTTAGCTGTCAGGAATGTTTCCATTAGTATGTGGATATACACATCTGGAACAGGGGCTTTCTTTTTCTGTTTCGCCCTCAGGAAGCACTGTGAGAAACTTTACTCATGAATAAGCTTCTCAAGTTTCTCCTCACTACCTTTCTATAATGTTCTGGCCCTTTCTTTTATATCCAATACCTGTAAGCATGTGCTCACACACTGCTGTAGGAGATGCACTTCTGAATATACCATATCCTCTTCTACATTGGTCACTGTCCAAAAAATCCTGTTCCTGGCAAGCCAGGTGGAACTGGGCAGTGCACACCAGTGCTGTGGTAATGGCTTACTACTTAAGTCAGCCTGGCTCCTATGTTAACTGTTGTTGACTTTATTCACTTTATCACTTTAATTTTATATATATATATATATTTTTAAAGTCGGGCATCTACGTAAACTGATCTAAACTGCCAAAATTTTACAGTCTGACTCAGGTAGTCCAACTGACCACAAAGTCTTGAGAGAACCAGTTCTTGCAGAGATAGTCAGCTGGAAAGAAATCCAAGAGAATGGTTTGTAGTGACTGACTTAAACAAGGGAGCAAAAACTGCTTGGGCTATTTCAGTCTTCTGTCAACAGTTTGCTTGCTAGTACAGGTGTCTGAGTTTTCTTATCTTTTGCAAAGCTAGAACGGAGACTTGATATTTGTTGGAGGTTTTTCTTTTTGTTTTGTTTTTCCTTCCCCTGTCTAGCATGGAGTTTCACAAGAGGACTTCATAAGATGCAAGCAAGAGAAAAATGTGAGAGATGTAATTTATGATATTGCCAGCCAGGCACATATTCATCTAGAACATGTGAGATTCCTTCTTTTCTCTCTTTTTTTTTCTTGTTTCTCTTTTTAAATAAAATAAATTGATATTAATCTCTATGGAACATTGTGACAATGTGTTGTCAGAAGACTTGTAGCTTCACGGTTTATTTCAGATATTTTACCTCTGATTACTTTGAGAGAGAGTTTAAAATTCAAAAAGAGCCACAGAACCTTTAAATATTTTACAGCTACTTCTCCATGAATATTACATTTATCTGTATGTGCAAGAGGCAGTTTACCAATAGTCAGATCCAGTTGCATATATACAAATACTGCCTATAAGGCTTACTGTTGAGAGAGAAACGTGTATGAGTGCAAGAGTATGCCAACATGGAATTGAAACCATAGAGTACCTCTGCAGGTGGTCCTTCACAGCATGGTTGAATGGCTGCCAGGGAAGCAGAGGATGCTGCCTTTAACTGCCAGAAGTGTGTGTGGGAAGGGGGATTCCTTCCCCAGCACAACCAACCATGCTTAAAGCTAAATTGGGAAAGGCTGTTTTGTTGTTGTTGTTCGTTTTCTGGCCCACAGTCAAGTGAATTAGGAAAGACTTTATTTGGAACAGATGATAACGAGTCTAGAAGACCTACATAGTTCTATTCTTTTTCCTTTGTGCCATTACTTTAGCTTTACTTTGTATTGCTGGTTGGTAAGCAGAAGTATGTTTCTTCAGCAATGCTATACCTACCTTCATCTGGAAAATAAAACGCACAGGAAGCACTGTAAACGGATGTTGCTGTCAGTTTGTCCACCAGTACATATACTTGTACTCTGAGTATTGCACCCAATACTTTTATTAAAGGTAGTCTGAAAAGATACTTCTAAGTAAAATAATGACAAAATTATCTCTGCATATATGCCATTAATATCTGTATATATCTGTCTCAATTACAGTATTATGCATGATCACACAGTATCTTCTGCAGTAGAGCTAGATAAGCCCTTCATTTTTTCTTAAGGTAAAATGAAGCCTCCTTGTTTTAATTCAGTCAGTGGTTTGTTGATTAGTGTTTTTATTCTTTGCTGAAAATATGTACCCTCAGGCTTTATTTTTAATACAAACTATTTATAATTTGCATTTAATGCATTCCTTTGCTATTCTTGTTTCACCCGATATCTGTCCGTTTTGTTGTCACATGTCCAAGGAGGAAAACGTTTATCCCATTTTAGAGCTAGGGAACAGAAACAAGGAGAATGCAAGGTCAAAATTAACCACTATCTCTTTGATGTTCAAGCTGAAACCTCTTTTTTTTTTTTCTTTTTTTTGTCCCCACCCTTCTTCCTGTAATCACAGTGTACAAAACCATTGATTTTGGTTGCAGCTGTGGTTTACAAAAATGACAAGCGCCTGGCCTGAAATGTCTCGTATCGGGGGTGGTAGGCACAGAAAATGAACAATAAATATTGTTCTGCTGTTTAAAATTTCATTGCCCGTGTTGCATGGAAACTTTGAGACAGAAGCAGAGAGAGAATTCAGTTCTTCAGGGCTTTCCAGGTAAATCAGTCCTGTGACCGTTCTTAGCCCCACAGTCCCCTGACTCCCTACAAGCCAACCAGCCTCTGCAGAGAAAAGGCAGGATCCTCCTTAGCCCTTTTCCTTCCCACTGCATTCCAAGAGCCCTGCCCATGCTATGTGCTGGGAGGGTCCTATGGAAAATATGAAATGGGATTAAGTAATTGGACACTATACAGAAAGGCATAGACATAAGGAAATCAGATTATGGTGGCATAAACATTTTATTCAGCTTGAATGTTGAACTTAGCACTTTTTTTTGTTAGTGGGTGCTCCTTGAGCTGCCATATCTTCTTGTGAAACAACAAAATAAAAGAAGAAAATCCATTCGGAAAGACCAAACTAGCTTCTAACTTCCATCATTACGAGTGAAGGATACTGGATAGTGGAGGATCTCTGCAGGGGTTCAGGCCACTTGACCTGGCAGTAACTGGCAATGATAACAGGGTATTAGCCTCCTTAATAACCAGATGGCCTTTTTAATGCAAGGATAAAGATAATTCTCTTTTCCTGTAGTGGAAGAAAGAGTAATTTGCTGGCAACAGAGGACTTTGGATATTTCAAGCTTTTAGATGAATGTAATGGGCCTGTACTGTTAGCTGCATCTGTTATTCTGTCTAAAATCTCCATATTATTTTGCCTGAGCCTGTTCAGCCATTTATCTTCTGTCTAGGTTGGAATTGTGGGGTATGGTTAGCATTAAACCTGCAGAGAGATTTTAACAGTCTCAGAATTTGACGCAAGCTACGCATGTTTCAGAGGATGAGGATAAGAGCCCTTAGCCCTACTTCATAGTCAGAAGAAACCTAACCCCCCCCCCCAATTAAGTCCAAGGGATATTATGTGAAGCATCTTGTACTAATATGGCACTTAATCTTGGAAGACAAATTTCTGAGGTGTGGTCAGCTCTTCCTGCTACTCTGGCTGATGACCTGCAGAGGGCAAAAGAAGTTAATGAAGATTGCAGTTTTGTTTAGGAATTTTGTATTTGGTAGAATAAAAGCATGTAACAAAGTGCCGTGTTGGGTCCTGCAGTGATGCCTTTGACCCATTTACTTGTTCCCCTCTTTGTGTAGCTTCCCCTCTTCTTTAAGAAGATACTCTTGATTTTTTTGCTTCTATCTCAATTGTGCTATATCATTCAGTTTATCAGGCAAAACAACATGCTTTCTAAATGACATTCAAGCAAATCCATTCTGAGTTAAGAAGGTCAAGCAAGATTATTTCCTGTCTTATGTCTCACAACTAATAGTAGCAAGCCAGAGCATAAGCTCAGGGAAGAGAATTTTCCTTTTGTATATACTTTATTTCATCTCAACATTTTAAAATAACTTGCCCTCTGAAAAGTGTCACTACTTTTTCTTTTTTTCCTGGTAAAGTTTCAGCCTGATTTCCTCAGTTGTCTGGAAAGATCAATAGAAAGGAAACAAAGTCAAGCGTACGCATCGATATTCTTAAAGGCTCTGTTTTCTGTGTTGTGTGTACAGGGTGTTTTTTTTTTTCAGTTTTGCCATATAATAAAAGGCAAGGCAAAGGCAGTTTCTGTATTTAGTAATAAGCATTACAGGAAGCTTTGCTTTAGTTAGCTATTGGATGCAGCTGAATTGTACCTGCACTTAAAGATGTGTTTCAGCTGTGGTTTAGACCCTTTATATGCAGATTCTGAGGATCTGTGGCCCAGACATCCTTTCAGAGACCTGTAAATGGAGGATGACTGAACTTCTGAAACTGAGAGTAAGATTGGAACCAAAAAGACTAGTTCAGGGAAATGCATTTCTGGTCCTCCATCACTCCTGTCTCTTGGGGTACAAAGAATTATTTGGTGTTTTAAAACAAGTTAAATCATATTTATTAAATCAGATACAACTTGGAACTTTGCAAGGATAAGGGATGTCAATTTACAGTACTTTATTGTTATGTAAGCTGTAAGGTTGCTAAAAGATACAAGAATTTTAGCAGGCTTTTCCCAGTGTTATGCACTTTCTCTCTCGCTGTTCCGTACAGTGAGGGATGGTGCTGGCCTATATATAATGAAAAATTACAGTTTCAGTATGTCAAAGTTCAGGGAAAAAAGGCTGAAGCTTGTAATATATTCTGTTGGCTCTAACCATTATGTATATATAGTGCTTGAGGTTTAATTTGAAATATATATATACACCTATTAGGACAACTTAATATTTTTTTTTTCCTCCCACCTCACCCCATTTACTTCCAGGCTAGGTCTTTCAGTAAGAAAGTTCCTGTGAAGGCATATCCTGCTTTCTTCTGTACGGTGAGTGTGATATCATGCAGTCTGTAAGTGATGAACTCATTTCTGTGTTATCATGTTTGTGAAGAGCAGAGTATCACATTAAATGTTGTTAAGTAGTGCTTGATGTGTCTAGTTCATTGACAGGATGTAACGAACTTCTGAAAATCATAATGCTGTTCAGATGTGTATTTCACTGTAGAATCTCAAAGTTTCTGATCAGCACTTTTAATCCTTCTTCTTTAATTACACAACTTCTCCAAATATGTCTGAATATTCACAGATCACCCTTCTAGTGCATGGTCCCAAAATATTATCTATTTTATCATTTGTTGGTTGGTTTAGTAAAAGATAATGCTTCTCTTCACAAACCTTACCTTTTGTGCTTCTTTAGAATGTGATGGCTCCCACCACCACTTATTGCAACAGGCAAACTGTCAGACCATTTTGCAGTCCATAATTCAGTTTCATATATTGCTTTTTAGCATAATGTCCAGTTATTTGTGCATACCATATGGACTAACCATTTTCTCTTTTCTAGGTTGCTTTAGAGGATTATTTATGTAATATACGGAAAGTGGACTTCAATATATTTCATCCAAGCTTACAGAAGAAAAGTACATTATTACCATTGTATTTGTATATTAGGTCTTGGAAAAAAACATATTAAAATATTCTTAATATGAGGTTCAGATTGCCGATTTCTTTTTTCTTTAATTGACTGGATAGAATTGCGACTTATCTAATTTCACACTTCTCCAAACTGCCGTCCTTGGGAAACAACAGATGTGCATGCACAGTAGCTGTCAGTTTGTTCTTGGTATGTTAGGCTGATAGCTCTGCTTCACATGTCTGCTAACTCGTATGTCCTCTTCTGAGATAGTTTTCCCGTTTTTCCTGTAATAACAACAATGGGATAGAAGTGTTCTTGGACATGCTCTACACCGATGTATACTTCCTCCTAATGGTTTCCACAATCCTGGCAAAAATGAACGTTTTGTCCCTGCACAAAAGCAGTCACAGTCAATACCCTGCAAATCAGCTAAGAATAATTGCATATATTTGGATAGAAGAAAATTGTCAGGAAAAGCTTCAAAACTTTTCATTATCTAGTGTTTATGTAATACTCCAACGTGGTGAAATACAACTGTAGTATAGAAATTATTTAACTGAGTGTTGAGATCAAGCTTTGAGGTGACTGTATACGGTGGGAGGATAGCTTTACAAACAAGGATGAAGAGAGTCCTTATACAGCTGTTTTTTCTCCTAACACAGCCTAACACTTTTCCGCTTTGCTCTTAGCTTGGCGTTACCTTTCTTCTGTCCTGAGAGACATCTCATCTCTATACTCTTGTCCAGAGCTGTCATTGCAACATGGGTTCAGCTGCACCTATGTTGATTTTTCTGTGTCCCTCAGGATATCCTTCTGTATGTCTTCTCTGATTTTTTTTTTTTTCCTCCTTTCAGTACTCTGAAAAGATCTATTTCTGAATTTTCTAGGTCACTTTAGTCCTTTCCCTCTGCAAAGGGATGGGAATTTTTTGTTGGGAAATTACTGGGAGCTTTGTACTCAGCATCTCTTGGGATGAATGAGGTTTGAATGTGAAATATTTCTGATTGTCCTGTTATTTGGTAAAAGAATACTTCCTAACATCCAGCTTGATTCAACTGCACAAATCCAGTAATTTCCTCTGCCATCATCCTTTTTCTATTAAACAGCTTTTTTTCCCCCCAGACTTTTTTTTTAATCAGAGTTAATCTCCCCAGATGCTTAGTTGTATAACAGCATCCTGTATGTTATTGTACAGTGCTACAGAATGGATTTCTGAGAACAAGATTTGTGGCTTTTTTTAATCACGAAATATGTCAGGACAGAGGAAATCTTAGGAACCCCGTATTAAATCCTTCATTCAGTGAGTCAGTTTTACATGTTTGAAGTTGGTTTGGCAATACAGATCCTAGTTAATTCTGCAGTTTTCTACTCCAGACTAAGGCATTTTTCTTTGCATTTATGTAGCTCAGGATCTTGGATTCTGTATTATTAGAGGTGTAATAATTGAGGTTGATGCAAAGCTAGAAAAATGCATGCATAATACTGCTGTGTGGAAGTGCACTGGATATTTTCTAGAAGTAAAACCTTACAAGCTAGGTCTGTTCCTCAAAGCAGCTGCTATATCTCATCAGTGCTGTTCTTGAAACTGGCAGAGAGGTCTGGAGAAAAGAAATATTTCCTTCCTATGCAGGCACCACAGCTCTTCCTGCCAAATTAACAGCAAAGGCTTAGCCTCTGTTGCTACTACCAGGCCAGCTGCACTTTCCCTCTGTTTATTTTATATTCTGGAGAAAGCATTACAATGTCTCTTTCTGCAGTTGTCCCAGCCTTGTTTGTAGCGTGCTGAGTCAGGACAATAGAGGCAGCCCTGGCTTTCCTCCTAAGAGGAGTCACTCTCCTGTAAAGTCAACTTTTGGCAGGAACTTAGTACAGTAACATGGAGAAGGAGGAAAAGAAGGAAAACCGTGCAGTATAACCAGGCCACTGAGTTGCTACAGTGATACCTTGCTTCCAGCGCTGGCCTTGTGGCAGTGTTGAAGTGGAACAAATCTTGACACTGTGCTTACAGAGGAATCAATGGAAGGGCTGATTTGTTCCTATGTAGAAAAGAAACCATGTGATGTTGTGAACGGCTAGCATGGTGAGAGGAACTTATCAATGAATTAGTAAACAGGATGTGGAATAAATAAATTCAAGTTATGACTTTGGTCACAAGAGAGTTTAGAGTGACCTCAAAAAGTAAAGCAGTACTCTGAATTGCAAATGACAGGAGGCTATTTGAATAAACAGTCTGTCTCCTTTGCATCCTTCCTAAGGGCAAGATCGGGCATGACCATGGAAGTGCTGTGAATGGGGCTAAAGAATATGTTCTGCTTAAATACCTTTTCAAACAAGGTACAGTCTTAGTTTGTCTGCTTTGAGTAGTGTTATCCCCTTTTATGGCACCTAGTGCCTTATAAGAAACTACGTTCATCAGTTTCGATAACTTATAATCCCACATCCTATAAAAATTCATGTGATTTCTAGTCTTGTGTTGGATCTGACAAAATGCTAACCTACAGGTCATTTCTGTCAGAAGATGAACAAGCAGATCTGTTGCTAGCTGCGGACTGCACTTCTGAAAATCGTTTCCATTGTCTAGTGAATTTGCACTGGAAGAAAAATAACGGTCTGCTTCCATGAAATTTTTGACTGTGATAGTGAGTTGCAGAAAAACACCAGGCTATCATTCTATTCATTGGCTGCAAAAGTTAACCTGTTATTCATGTTAGAAAGTTCAACCATACAAGAAACTGAGCAGCACGTGCCAAAAAGGTAGCAGTACTAATGTCTTAGAATAAAACTTGGGTTTTTCTTTTTCGTGTTATACCTGGAACTTCTGCATTGTTTTCTACTCAAAAACAACTGTTAATGCATTTTGTGTTCTGAGCTAATCTATCCCTGGCTCTTTGCTCAGAGGCAGAGACATTGGAGAAAATTCATTTAATTAGAGTCAAAATTCTGCAACTGTGTCCTGTGCCCAGCCTGCCCACGTGTTCCTGAAGTACTTGTCAATATTAACCCACTACAGCAGGTCTTACGAGCATGCACTTGCTAATCTAGGTAAAACCAGACCAATGCAGCAGTGTAGCAGGTACGCTTCTCAGTGCTCTTACGTGTTTTGTGTATCTATTTGATCTTTGTTTGTCTTGTTTCCTTTTGGTTAGAAACAGAATTGTAGCTCCTGTCTTTCTCTTTAGAGTAATTCATTGGAGTCTTCCGGAGGGTCTTTCTACTTGTATTTTGCTAGCTGAAATCTGGAAACGTACGTATGTATTGCTGCTATAAGGGATCTCATTTTGTGTCAGTGATATGCAACTACGCTAGCAGATGTGGGGTCAAAGCGCTGAACAAACTGACATCAGACATCACTTGAACAGAGATTTTGCAGTTTAATTGGTTCCCCACTCAGCCATCTAATAATTTTAATCAGAACAAGGTTAATTTTCAAGCTAAAATCTCAATCATTCCATTTAAGAAACACCTCCTCTAGACCTTTGCCATGTCCCTCAGAACTTAGCATCTAACGCTTGCATCTTATTTTGATCCTCTCTGTTGTTGTAATGTTCAGTACTACCTTAAAATGCTTTCCAACCATAAACATAAGAATTACTATACTACAAAAGAGGAGCGCCATGCAGTTCAGTCTCTTGTTCTACATGTGTCTTCATGTTTTTCAAAGGAAGATACAAGAGCATCCATTTAGATAATTATGGGCAATCTACCCCAAAATAGTGTGAATTTTTTTTTTTATTGATGTGATTCCAAGTTAAGACCTGAGCTACAAAAGCTTGGTTATAGAAGGAGACAGTGTTATGCCAAATGTTCTGAGAACCTGTTTCCCATTGAGTTTGCTGATGGCAGCTGTGCGTTCTCAAATGTTATACTTGCCTTTCTTCTGTCTCAAACATCTCCATCATTCTTCAGCTTTCGTGAATCTCCTCGTAAGTCTGCAGACATTTTTTTTTTTAAACTGCTTTGCATCCATTGAAGTTGAACCTATTGTAAACAGTTGTGACAACATTCATAGGTACATAAAACGGGACAAAATATACAAGCAATTGATTACGCTTCAGGCAGTACATGGACAGATTGCCTCTATAGACAGATTATTGATAACCATTCACTGATTCATGTCCTCATCTGGAGCCAAAACTGTTTAGCATCCTGCGCCAACAGAAGCAGACTAAATACACAAGGGGTTTATCTTCTAAGGATATTTTATAGTCACTATTCTGGGATGGGACTCTCCATGACTGCATAAAGTCTGAAATGAAGGATAAACGTGCATTTCTGTTTCATAGATAGAGACCTATGACTTTTTAAAGAAGGATCCCACTTCTCTTTCTTCCTACTAGAAAGTGGATTTCTGGAACCTTTGCTTGTACAGTGGTGTGTTTTGTGCAAGCCTGTGGCAGTAGAAGGCAAATTAGAAGTTGTAGCTGCTCTTGTATAACCTGCTGTGAAGTCTGGAAGCAGCTAGTCATTTACTGCAGTTTAGAGCTGAGCTTTTCTTTGCCCTGTGTGTTTTACCCTGAGAATGCTCCCTTCTTACTCAGGCTGTTTGAAGTTTTTTTTTTTTTTTAATTAGTCTGAAGACTCCAAAGGAATGGAAAAAAAAAAAAAAGTATTTCAAGTGCTAATTCTCAGTCACTATCCAGAAGGTTGAAATTTGCCTAAAAATAGAAATTTAGTTGTTGTACATAATGCACAAAATCTGCAGCTTATTTCAAGTTGCAGGTAGGGACTGTGTGACAAGCCAGGCCATTTTCTTTAATTTAGCTCTAATTGATTTGTTCTTTTATTAAATTAGCTCAGTTGTAGTTCATCAGCCTGCACATAAATAGCCTGCTTTTTCCTCTAAGTACCTAATGAATCTTCATATTCATCAGTAACTTCCTCCAACAGGTCACAAGATTTATTTTCTTAGTCACAAATGCCTGCCTTATGCTTACTTTTTCCTATTGGCAGTATCTTACTAGGAACAGATCAGGACAATTGGGCATTATGCAAGCTATTACGCAAACATCTCGATGATGATT